GGGGCGTGGCCAGCATTGCTGAGGGCTGGGGCGTGGCGGTGTCTGGGGGCGTGGCAAGGGCTGGGGGCGTGGCAAGGGGCGTGGCCGCTGCGAGGGGCGGGGCGAGGGCTGGGGCGTGGCCGGTATGTGCTGAGGGCTGGGGCGGGGTGGTGCCTGGGGGCGTGGCATGGGCTGGGCGTGGCAAGGGCTGGGGTGTGGCGAGGGTTGGGGATGTGCCGAGGGCCGGGGCGAGGGCTGGGACGGGGGGCAAGGGGCGTGGCGATGTCTGGGGGCGTGCCGAGGGGTGGGGCGTGGTGATGTCTGGGGGCGTGGCGAGGGGCGGGGCCCTGCGCCGACCCCCGGGCGCCTCCCGCCAGGACCCCATCCTGCTCCCCGGCTCCCTGCGCGCGAACCTGGACCTGAGGCAGGAGCACACGGACGAGGCCCTCTGGGCGGCGCTGGAGACCGTGCAGCTCAAGGCCTTCGTGGCGGCGCTGCCCGGCCAGCTGCAGTACGAGTGTGCCGACAGGGGCGACGACCTGAGGTAGGCGCACCCCTGGGGCACGGGGGGAACCTTGGGTTCGAGGCTCAGCTGGACAGCACAGCAAGAACCCGAGCGCACGGGTGGCTCACGCCCGTCATCCCAGCCACTCAGGAGGCTGAGAGCTGAGGATCATAGTTCGAAGCCAGCCTGGGCAGGAAAGTCCATGAGACTCTTATCTCCCATGAGCCACTAGAAAACCCGAAGTGGCACTGTGGCTCAAGTGGTAGAGCGCTCGCCTTGAGCTGAAGCGCTGAGGGACAGCGCCCAGGCCCTGATCAAGCCCCACCACCAACAAAACAGGAGGCAGAGGAGAGAAAAGGAGAGAATGGGAAACAAGGAGATCAGACTGTAGTCAGAGGTCGGGCTGTGACTCTGGCTCCACCAGGGGCTTTGTGGCCTTGGGCAGGCGCTTGACCCCTCTGTGCCTGAAGGAGTGTGAGGTCCAGTGTGGGGTCCATTTCTTAGGTCTGGCCCCTGGGGGAGGTCCTAACACAAACAGAAACCAGCCCTTCCCCCAGCTGGGGAGACTGAGGCACACAGGACGGCACTAACCTCTGCTTGCGGTGCCCAGCGTGGGGCAGAAGCAGCTGCTGTGCCTGGCGCGCGCCCTGCTCCGGAAAACCCAGATCCTCATCCTGGATGAGGCCACGGCGGCCGTGGACCTGGGCACCGAGCTGCGCATGCAGGCAGCCCTCGGGCGCTGGTTCGCGCACTGCACGGTGCTGCTCATCGCGCACCGCCTGCGCTCCGTGATGGACTGCAGCAGGTGAGACGGGCGAGGGGCCGGGAGGAGGGCGCCGGCCCCAGGGCCCTGGCTTCCACGCAGGCGTCAGGACTGAGGAGCTGCGGGAAGCCTCCCTCCCCCCAGGAGGCCAAAGAGCTGCCCGTCCCTCCCTTCTCTGCAGGGTGCTGGTGATGGACAAGGGGCAGGTGGTGGAGTGTGGCAGCCCGGCCCAGCTGCTGGCCCAGAAAGGCCTGTTCTACAGACTCGCCCAGGAGTCAGGGCTGGTTTGAGCCGAGCCTGGACATGCCGGAGACCAGGCGGGTCCCGTGGGGGGTCACAAGTGGGCTCTTTTCTGGGCGGAAGATGGCGGACCCTCAAGACTGCCCTCCCCTCTCCCCAATGGCCTGCGCAAGGCCCAGCGAGCCTCGTCTACCTCAGAGCCACTGTAGACAGTGCACCCACCACGGCTGCCCGCCAGACTCACCTGGGGAACTTGAACACAGGCCCAGCCCCAGCCCTGAACCTGCTGGGCCTGGCGATCCTGTGTGCACCTTTCCCAAATGACTTGGGAGGTCATCACGGGCTCAGATGCAGTCTGAAGAAATACAGCGCTGGCTGCAGTGGTGCTACTGAGAATCCCAGCTATTTAGAAGTAGACACTGGGAGGATCAATGTCAGACTGGACAAAAAATAAAGTGAACATTGAGACCCCTTCCCCATCTTAACCAGTAAAAGCTGGGCATTGTGGTGTGCATCTGTCATCTAGTCACAGAAGCAAAAATAGAATTGAGGTCCAGAGATGGGCACCGGTGGCTCCCAGCTATTCAGGAGGCTGAGATCTGAGGATCATGGTTCAAAGCCAGGCCAGGCAGGAAAGTCCGTGAGACTCTTATCTCCAAATAAACCACTAGAAAACTGAAGTGGTGCTGTGGCTCAAGTGGTAGAGCACTAACCTTGAACTGAAGAGCTGAGGGACAGCGCCCAGGCCCAGAGTTCAAGCCCCATGACCAACAACAACAAGAAGAATTGTGGTCTGGGAGAAGTTAGGCATAAAGCTGATGCCCTTAAGGAAAAATAATGAAGGCAAAAAAGAGCCTGAAGGGGTAGTGCAAAGCCCCGAGTTCAAATCCTAGACTGCGGAAAGGAAAAGAGTACAGATGGCTCCCTTGAACCGTTTTCTCTCGTGTTTCCCAGGTGACACCCTGCAAAACTCCAGTACAGGATCACAAGCAGGACCCTGACATTCATACAGCAGACGAGGACGGTGGTTCTTACTCTTGTTTGTGTCTATTCACTTCTGCACTGCCTGCCTGCAGTCAGGGCCTTGAGCTTTCTTGCTCACAGCTGGCCCTCCACTACCTGAGCCACACCTCCAGCCCAGCTTTTTGCTGGAGTTGCCAGGAACACAGCCCAAGACTCAACAAGCTTCAAGCATAGGGTTTTAAAATCTGAATCCAGCTTCTTTTTCTAGGAACCCAGAGGTCATAAGAACACCAAATGCCATGGGGTCAAGGGTCAGGGGTCAGAGCTGGCTGAAGCCCAGCGCCGGCTCTGACCTGGGGCAGTCAGTGCCCAGCTCACTGCACTGTTGAGGCCAAATCCTGAACTCAGACCAACTCCTGCCATCGTCCACGCCAGGCTAAGGCCCCACAGGCACGCGGGTAAATAACCCAAGTTCGCACACTGCACACAGCTGGGGAGGCGAGCCAGGACCCCGTGTACGCAGAGAGCCACGCATGCGTCCCTGCTGCCCTACAGCACCTACCTGTCCCTGGCGCACACGCTCTGTGCCACACCCGGCACTCGCTGGACAGTGCCACTCCACCCCAGGACACGGCATCCAGCGTGTGTCCCCCCAGCGGCTGGCTTCTGCCCTGCTCAAGTCCAGGCTCGCCCCTAGCGGCCATGGCCACCTGACTGCAGTGGCCACCACCTCGGGCCCCTGGCCCTTGACACAAGCCAATGGCTTCACTCGTGGACGACATCACTCAGGAAAACAGCAGTGCGAGTGGTGACTCAGGGCGCGCACCCCAAAATACAGGCATTCCCCACTACTCAATTCCCACACCCCAAACCCGAGTCTCAGCGCCTCTTTCCATCCGGGAGGATGGAGACTGACCCATACCCGAGGCCACAGCCCGAGCGCCCACATCATCACCCTTCCCCAGCTCCGGAGACCTGAGCCGGTCCCTGAGCAGAAGGCAGTCTCCCCCTTTATCAACATTCTATCAGGTCAACAAGACAGCAGTGGCTCACTCCTACAATCCCAGCTACGGAGGAGGCTGAGCGCTTGGGATTCCGGCCCGCCAGGGCAGGAAAGTCCGTGAGACTCTTATCTCCAATGAACCACCAGAAAACCGGAAGTGGTGCTGTGGCTCAAGTGGTAGAGCACTAGCCTTGAGCTGAAGAGCTGAGGGACAGCGCCCAGGCCCAGAGTTCAAGTCCTATGACTGATCAAACAAACAAACAGTTCAGTGGTGGTATGCACCTGTAATCCCAGCTACCTGGGAGAGGTTCAGGAGGATCAGTGTCCAGAGCTGGCCCTGGGAAAAAGTGTGAGACCCTATCTGAAAAGTAGAGCATAAAGGACTGGGACTTAGCTCAAGAGGCTCTGGGTTCAAACCCTAGTACTACCAAAAAAAGTGTCCAAAATTGCCCTAGAACATCCCTTTGCATTAGTCAGGACAGGTGAAGCCATGCCACAGTAATGAACACAATGGTTGCTTTCAAGCTGACAGAATTTGCGTGTGTGTGGTTTGTGTGTGGTGTGTTTGTTTGTGTGCCCATACTGGGTCTTGAACTTGGGGCTTGGGTGCTGTCCCTTAGCTTTTTTGCTCAAGGTTGGCCTTCTACCACTTGAGCCACGGCCTCACTCTTGGCTTTTTGCTGGTTAATTGGAGATAAGTCTCAGAGATTAGTCTGCCCAGGCAGATCTCAGCCTCCTGTGTAGCTGGGCTGACAGCGCGAGCCCTGTGCCCGGCTGCCACCTGGCCTTTGCCTGGGGACGTGCTGTGGGGCGCTGGCACGCCATGCAGGAGCCCAGCCAGCCCGGCACGCAAAGCTGCGAGTCACATGACCACCCAAGGACTCAAGCTGGGGGCCCAGGCTGCCCCCCTCCCTGCCAAGCCCCGTCCTCTGCCCTCCATCTTGACTTCGAACCCCCAATTCTGACAGACCACCACACAACATACCTGCCCTGCGCCGACGCCCCCAGAGCAGAGCGCTGCCCCTGCGGCCCGCACCCCGAACGACAGGCGGTGGTCATTTAGAAAGAAATAAAATATTTTGTTTTACTGAAAATTACTCGCAAGTGTTCACGTTTCCAGTGTTAAGTCATTACAAAAAGAGGCCCAAGGAAAACCTGGGTTCTCGAACGTGAAAGAATGGCTTAACTTACAAAAAAAATAAATATACATTTCCACTTAAAAGAAAAAAGTCGGCAGCAGAACTCACGGCGGGCGCGAGTCCCGGGCAGCTGTGGGGCCTCGCTGCTTCGGGGGGTGTCACCGAGACCTCTCCCCCGCAGACCCGCCTGGAAAGACCACACACGAGCCAAAGGTCAAGTGCAAAGCCAGGCCCGGCGGCGGCCTTGGGGCGCTGTCCCCCTGCGCACCCCTCTTGGAAAGGCAGCTCTCCACGCTGGCTTCCTCCCTGGAGCAGCACTTAGTGAGGGGCTGGGGAGCCGGAGGCGGCTGCCGGGTGTCCAGGGGAGAAACTGAGCTCTGAAAACGAGGGACTCGGGGGGCTTTTTGGTATCCAGCGGCGGTCCGTGCTGTTGACCTTGGAGGTGTCCAGTTGTGACCTTGGATGTGCGTTGGCAGACCTTGTGAGAGGCCCATCCCATCCAAGCGGCAGGGGCGGGAAGAAGGCGGGGAGGGCGAGCTGGGGGAGGGTGGGTTCGGAGGATGAGCTCTGGGGGTGCCTGAGCCCCCCTTCACCCCGGGGGGGGGAGGGTGCCTCTCGTCACTGACGCAAATCCCATCGGAGACATTGCTGGGCGCTGCCTCTGCCCCCCGGGCCCCGGAGCAGCTGGAAGACGAGAGGTGGTCGCGAGGACAGTCCGGGGCCCCGAGGGGGCGGAGCGAGGCGTCCGGCAGGCGTCAGGACACTGGAGGTGACGGGAGGCTGCGGGGAAAGCCACGTGGCCGTGGAGAGGTGCAAGGCAGTTGGCTGGGTTTGGTCACTAGCGTGTTTCGCACAACCAATTTCTCGAGAAGGCGACTGTGGGTGCCGCAGCCCCCTCCGTGGGAGCCGGGCCTGCAATCTGAGGTGCGCGTCTTGTGGGGTGCGCATCTTGTGGGGTGCGCGTCAGAGGCCAGGGCACACGTTTGGGGTGGGAGGCATCTCTGCCTCTAAGCAGGGCCGGGCAGCGGCTGCTGCTTGCTGTGTTTTGGCGCTGGGGGTGGGGGGTGGGGGTGCGGTTGGTTTTCTTTCTTCGTTTTTGGTTTCTGTGTGGGAGGCCGGGCCCCCCCCCCAGGGTGCCGGCTCGCCCCGGGGTGCGGGGCCGTGGGCCTTGCAGTTCTGGTCGGGCACCGGCTGCGGGCCTCACACCAGGCCGGCGTCTTTGGCCATGCTGTAGAAGAGCCCCCTGTCCTGCAGGAGCTGCGCCGGCGAACCGCACTCGCAGATCTCGCCCTTGTCCAGGACAATCACCCTGCGGGGAGAGGACGCAGGCGTGAGGGGCACGGCGGCGCTGGGCACCTCGCGCCCACCACGGCTTTGGGTCAGGCCCTCGACATCTTCTGCCAGGACTGACAGAGCCATCGCCCCACTGGCTTCCTACCCCCAAGCCCCACCCCCACTTTTTTCTGTAGGATTTTTGTTGCGGTGGGGCCTGAACTCTGGGCCTGGGCGCTGTCCCTGAGCTCTTCAGCTCAAGGCCAGTGCTCTACCACTTGAGCCAAAGTGCCACTTCCGGCTTTCTGGTGGTTTATTAGAGATAAGAGTGACTCCTACCCAGGCTGGCTTTGAAGCATGATCCGCAGATCTCAGCCTCCTGAGTAGCTGGGAAGACAGGTGTGAGCCACCAGCGCCCAGCTTTTTTCTGTGGTTTTGAAGATTGAACCCAGAACCTCCTGTATGCTAGGCAGAAGATCTGCCACCTGAACTATGGCCCCAGCCCCTTCAATCCCAATTTCTAATCAATGTCTAATGGGTATGAGGCTGCCGTGTGTGTGTGTGTGTGTGTGTGTGTGTGTGTGTGTCTCTCTCTCTCTCTCTCTCTCTCTCTCTCCTGGGGCTTGAACTCTGATCCTGGATGCTGTCACTGACTTTTTCTTTGCGCAAAGCTCGTGTTCTATCATTTGAACCACAGCTCCACTTCTGGCTTTTTGGTGGTTAACTGGAGATAGGAATCTCACAGCTTCCCTGCCCAGGCTGGCTTTGAACTGTGATCCTCAGACCCTGGCCTCCTGAGCAGCGGGGATGAGGGGGGAGCGGCCTGTCACCTGCGTGGCCTCCACAGTGGTGGGAATAGCGTTGATGGGGACAGGGCCGCCGCGGCTCCCGCGCATCATCTGAAGGGCTCAATTCTCTGCGCTTGCGCGGTGCTCTGCAGCCCAGCCCCGGCCTCCTGCTCCGCGCGGCCTCCCGCTCCTCCTCCCTCGGTGCCCGCCTCCAGGCCCAGCGGCCTGGGCTGTGCCCCGACCTCCAATGCTCTCCCTGGATCAAAGCTGGCCTGAGGCCCAATGCAGCGCCCCACCTGCTGTTCTTGCTTTGGGGGATACTGGAGTTCGGAATCGGGGCCCTGTGAATGCTCAGCAGGCGCTCTGCCACTTGAGCCACGCCTCCCGCCCTTTTGTGCTTTTGTTACTTGTCAAACGAGGTCTGGCTCTCTGCCCGGCAGACCCGGGCCACGACGGTCCTAATGACGCTTCCAGTGTAGTTGAGATGCCGCAGCAGACGCTGCTCCGGCTTTGTCATTGGTTGCCGTGCCCAGGCGGGGGCGGGGGCTCTGTCCACCGAGGCGGCGGTGCGCATGGGGCCCATGCTGAATGAATGAATAGATGGAGGAGCCAGCCAGCCAGCGCCGTACCTGGTGTAGTCCATGATGGTGTTGAGCCGGTGGGCGATGGTGAGCACCGTGCAGTCGTGGAACTGCGTCCGGATGGTGGACTGGATGAGGTCATCCGTCTCCAGGTCCACGGCGGCCGTGGCCTCGTCCAGCACCAGGATCTTCGTCTTCCTCAGCAGGGCGCGGGCCAGGCACACGAGCTGCCGCTGCCCCACGCTGCGGAGGGAGAGCGCAGTGGTGGCGCAGGTCCGAAGCCTCGGAGCAAACGACCCCCCCCCAACCCGAGCCCAGGCCCACCCCAGCCTTGCTCAAGGGGAGGCTGACCTACGTGAGGCCCGCAGACGCTCCCCCCCCAGCCCCGTGGGACACTGCAGGCCTGTCCCACTCCTGTGCCCCCCCGTTGCCATGGCAACCTGCCCAGGCCAGGATGCCGGAGGGACTTGTGGACTGGTGCCCGATGAGGCTGCGCTCCTCATCCCCCGCCAGCCCCCGCCACGTGAACGCGCCCAGCCGAGATCAGCCACGCCCCGGGGCGGGCCGCACGCGCCCCTCAGGGAACCCCAGCTTGGACGTCATGGTGACCGAGAATGGAATGCAGCCCTGGGACGGTGACACCGGGTCTGACCCAGGGGCAGCGGGCGGGCACGGAGGGCTGGGGTGGGGACTGACACGGGCGCCCCTGCAGCAGCGGCTGGCAGCCAGGACAGAGCTGCCAAGGAAGGAAACGCATCAGCCATCTTGGCTGTACCTCAAGCTACAGAGAGTCTGGTGGGAAGCGTGTCTCACAGTGGGAGACGGGGCCCGCAGGGAAGAGGCTGGGTGGGATTCCCCAGGCCGGGGTGTCGGGAGGTCCCCCCCGACCCCCTCCCCGCCCACCTGAGGTTCTCCCCGCCTTCTGCACACTCGTGTTCCAGCCTGTCAGGAAGGGTCGAGACGAAGCCCTTCAGGTGAGCCAGCTCCAGCGCCGTCCAGACGTCGTCATCCGAGTACTGGCTGAATGGGTCTAGGTTCATGCGCAGCGAGCCCGAGAACAAAACGGGGTCCTGCAGAGCCGAGCAGAGCAGAGCAGAGGGCATGGCAGGGCTCGCTCAGCCGCTCGGGACATTCCCAAGAAGCGTCAGTGTGCAAAACCCGGCGAGCAGCTTCCAACGGGAGACAAAGCCCTGGCAATGCCCCGTCTCCTTCAACCTCCGTCCTGTGTCTCACGGAGACGCCTTGTGGGCACCCAACCCCCGTCCCCAGCCACGAGGCTGCAGTGCTGTGGGCCACACCTGGCGCCAGGTAAATCCAGGTAAGCGGCGGTTACACGGGATCTCTGATGGCACCACATCAAGAGAGGCGGTTATGTTACTCTTGGAAGATGCTTTTGAGCTGGGGTTGGCTGACTGTGTGGATGCGGCCCGCCCCTCCCACCTGGCCCCACCCCCACCCAGCTCCCCCCACGCAGCCCCACCCCACCTGCGGGATGATAGTGATCTTGAAGCGCAGGTTGTGCAGGCCGATCTTGGCAATGTTGACGCCATCGATGATGATCTCTCCCTCTGCGGACTCATTGATCCGAAACAGGCCCAGGGTCAGAGATGACTTCCCAGCTCCCGTCCGGCCCACAATGCCAACCTGAGGGTCAGGAAGAGCCAGCGTGAGGGAGGGTGCTAGGCAGTGGAGGGTCTCTGTGCCCTTGTTGGACGCCGATCACCAGCTGGGCATCACCTCATTGGCCCAACTCCCGCCATAGCCAAGGCTCGTGCGCCACAATTCCCTGGAACCGTCCTTCGGGGACTGCTTTGACCGGAGGCCAACACGCTTCTCTTTGCCAGGTTCCCTGATGACCCAATCTGCCCTTTTCAAAAGTTGGTAGAGACCCCCAAAAAGACAGGGAGGGAGGGACGCTTCATGTCCTGCTCTGCTCAACACAGTGCGTTTGTTGGGCAGCCGCTGGGCGTTTCCTGACCTCCCGACTCTGTCCCATCTCTGCTTCAAGGAGCGGCTCCTGGCAGCTGTGGCAAAATCTGCTTCGAGCAGAATCCAGTCCCCTGGGCCCCTCTCACATGGCCTGGACTCACTGAAGGGAACCAGGAACCTGGCGAACAGCCAATGACAGGCTTCCTGTCATCTATCCTGAGCCAATGATGGGCATTCCTGACATCCAACTACAGTGAATGATGGGCATTCCCGACATCCAACCACAGCCAATGACGGGGTTCCTGTCATCCATCCTAAGCCAATGACGGGCATTCCTGACATCCAACTACAGCTAATGACGGGGTTCCCGTCATCCAACCTGAGCCAATGATGGGCATTCCCAACATCCAACTACAGACCATGACAGGCTTCCTGTCATCCATCCTAAGCCAATGAAGGGCATTCCCGGCATCCAACTACAGCCAATGACAGGCATTCCCAACATCCAACCTGAGCCAATGACGGGCATTCCCAACATCCAACCTGAGCCAATGACGGGCATTGCGGACATCCAACTACAGCCAATGACGGGCATTGCTGACATCCAACTACAGCCAATGACGGGTTCCTGACACCCTCTACTCTTGGGCCCTTGGGAAATGGACTCGCTCAACCTCTAATGTGTCACAGTACAGCACGTGTGCCAAAATTCCCACGACGTCACCAAAGCCACGGACTCAGAAGTACGTCCCCTCATTGCAAGTGAGAATGCACCCCATGGGGCAGAAGGCTTTGTCCCAGGTGGCAGATGGTTCAGTAACTCCATATGCTCAGAAGTGCAGATGGCCAGGGGACCTTTGACCGACTTCTGAGGACAGTCTAAGGGTCTCCGGGCAGGAGCGCCTTCTCGGAATAGCTTGGAACTACGGGAAGCTTCTAAAGTTCCAGTAACTCCCTGTGTCCCGAGCACGCCTTGTAGTGACGGAGACATCACATGTTCCCTGGACTCTGAGGCCAGCATAGACTTCATAGAGGACCCTGACGTCTTGTAGAGACAGGTGGGTGTGGCCTAGCATCACTACATGTTCTGCATCTCTCAAGAAAGCCAGAAGGATTATTCTATAAAGTATTACTTTATTTCTTTTTAAGACAGGCTCATCTCAAACTCTCAATCCTCCTCCTACCTCAACATCCTCAATACAAGGATTATAGTACTTTCCTTGTGCCCCCCCCCTTTTTTGTCATTTGTGAGGCTTAAACTCAGGGCCTGGGCGCTGTCCCTGAGCCTCTTTGTGTTCAAGGCTATGCTCTACCACTTGAGCCACGGCACCACCATTGGGCTTTGAGTGGTTAATTGGAGATAAGAGTCTCCCAGGGACTTTTCTGCCTGGGTTGGCTTCAAACCGCCATCCTCATGGATCTAAGCTTCCTGAGTGGCTGTGATTACAGGTGTGAGCCACTGGTGCCTGGCTCTCGTGCCCTTTTCCAATGCTCCATGTAAGTACTGGGAATTGGGCCCAGGGCCTTTGCACATGCTAGGTAATAAGCCTTTACTTCAGATTTTCTTTCAGCGCACCACTGGGCTTCCGGGCTGTTTCCAGCGTACAACCCGTTGCTAGTCCCCAAATGGCTCTTTCCATCAGCCCTGCCGGGGCCCGGGGCCCCCACCGCGGCCGGGGACCAGGCGCGCCCACCTTTTCTCCGCCGTTGATGGTGACGTTGATGTGCTTGAGAACCATGTCCAGGTCGTCTCGGTAACGCAGGCCGTAGTCTCGGAATTCCACCCGGCCCTCCTGGGGCCAGCTGCTGGGCGGGGCCGTCTCCCTGATCTGCCAGGGAGCCTTCCGTCCCAACGGGGGGGGGGGGGGGGGGGGGGGAGAGCAGAGAAGCCCGCATGAGCCGGCCGCCCCAGGCCCCTCCCCTCCTTGCGTGTGAGACTTCCGGGCCTTTAGCTCCTGCAGCCCCTGGCCACTTCCGGTCACCCTCCTACCTAGCCCCGTGTCCCCGAGAAGCACTTTCAGAGCACCAGACACCTCCTGTGTGACCCTGGTGGCCACTGCGCACTGTCTCCTGGGCCCAGTGCATATGACAGGTGTTCAATCACCGCTTATGGACTGGCTTGGGGAAGGGAGAGAGGTAGCAGGGGGCGGGGGGGTCCCCAGCTGCCCTGTGGTCTGCAGGGGCTCACCAGGAGCACCAGTTAACAGTAAAAGACAACCCCAGTGAGCCCGAGTATCTCTTGGCCTCACCTCCAGGCAGCCCGCGGGCGTGCCGCTCACACGCCCAGCTTACGCAGGGCTCGGGGGTCCTGGGCCACGCCCAGGCCAGGCCGCCCAGGCTGCTTTACCTCCTTCTCCGTCTCTGAGTACTCCTTGAGCCTCTCCACGGCCACGATGTTGGTCTCCATCTCGGAGGACATCCGGACCAGCCAGTTGAGGTACGTTGTGACCTGCAGGCGGGGGTAATCACGCTGACTTACCGCAGTGAGTGTGAGTTTCTTATTTCCATTAAGTGATTGGGTCAATAGTCACTGATTACGGCTGCACACAGAAAGTGGCAAAGCCACACACAGCCGGTCCCTGACCCGTAGGTCACACTTCCCGAAGGGAAGTAACAAAGTATTTGCAACCCATGGCATGAAAATTCCAGAGATGCAGACAAAGCAGCACTCTGAGGAATCTTTGTAGCTTTAAAAGCCTCTTCCTTCCAGCCAGAGCATCCCACTGGTGGAGAACTGTGGCCACGCCTCCAAATCCCCCACTGCGCTCCCTTCTCCAGCCCCGGCCCCAGGATCCCAAACAAGAGCCACCCATGGGGGTGGAGGGCGGTCTGAGCACCAAGAGCGCCTCCGGTCCTACCTGCAGGGAGTAAGACACGGACAGGCCTACCAGGCCGGCGCTGAGGCCCTGCCGGCCCACGGCGCTGAGGCTGTTTCTGGAGATGACTGAGAACAGGGCGGCAAACAGGACGATGCAGTTGCCGACATACTCCAGCCGCACGGCCAGCCACCTGCAGAGAACCACAGCCGTGTAGACACGCCTCCCCGTGCACGCGCACGCGCATGCGCGCGCGCGCGCACACAAGGCCGGCCTTCCAGCGACCTGGCTTCTCTCTCACGAGGGAAGGAGCAGCCAATCTGCCGACTGCAGTGAAGCCCTGAAGCTCATCAGGGCCGGCCACCTGGCACAGGAGAAGGGGGGATGGGGGGGAGGGAAGGGGGGAGGGAGGGACACGGGTGTCCCTGGACGTCTCGCCACCCCAGGGATGAAAATAGAATTCTCCAGAAGCCTCCTTCCCGGGAATTTCCAGTTTGTCACAGTGAGGACCGGCTTCTCAAGAAATCTCACACACACACGTGTCCATTCACGAGTGCCCAGAATTCTCAAGCACTCAAAAGCCTGGGGGGTCCCACCCAGCCATCGGGGGGCCTGGGCCTGACCCCAGCAACAACAACAAAACCAACAGATGAAATCTCTCTGCCAGAGATGCTTCTAAAAGACACTAAGAAACAAGCCGGCACTTTTGATGTCTGTTATAGTCCTAGACTCCCGTTACATCCAGGTGTTCTGAGGATGGGGTCCTCTGCTTTTAAAACGTCAGCACATCTGCCCTTGGTCTGTTGAGGCAGTGTCTCGCTGGCAGCCGAGTCTAGCTTCAAACTCCCGATCTGCTCCCCCAGAGCCTCCAAGGGCTGGGATTATAGGCATGTGCCACCAGGCCTGGCAAGTTTCATTGGCTTAAAACCTTTATAAGCTGTTGTGTGGCCGGAGGAAGATGGTTTCCCCATTTCCATTGTGAAGCCGGGGTGGGGGACAGAGCTGGGCATGACTCCCCACAGCACCCCCGGTGCTCACCACAGTAACCCCATGTGCCACCATGCTGAGCACTGGGCAACCCCCCTGCCTAGTTTTGAAGGATGAGTTTCACTTTGGGAAGGCAATTTCCTCGGGCTCAGCTCCTCTGAGCACACTGCCTTGGTGTACCGCAGATGGGGGTACAGCACCCCTCGGCGGGGACCTGAGCTGTGGGAATGACCTGATATCCCGGGACCCTGGCTGAAGGGCAGCGTGGGGCCTGCTGACTCAGTACCCTGGGTCCCGGGCTCGTAGCTTCTGCTTGTCCTTTGTGTTTTTTTTGTCAGTCGTGGGGCCTGAACTCTGGGCCTGGGCGCTGTCCCTCAGCTCTTCAGCTCAAGGCGAGCGCTCTACCACTTGAGCCACAGCGCCACTTCCGGTGTTCAGGTGATTTATTGGAGATAAGGGTCTTAGGACTTTCCTGCCCGGGCTGGCTTTGAACCTCGATCCTCAGATCTCAGCCTCCTGAGTAGCTAAGATGACAGGCGTGAGCCACCAGCACCCAGCTTCTGCTGGTCCATTTTTATCTAAGGGTCTTGGTACATAGCCCATGCTGGACTCAAACTCCAGATCCTCCTGCCTCTGTCTCCCCAAGTGCCGGGATTAGAGACGTGTGCGTCCCGCCCGGGCCGGCCGCGGCCGTGGGTGGGCAGGGTGCCCCCGCCTCTCTGCGGGCCTCACCGGTTGGCCACGATGCTGGGGTAGTAGGCCTTCTGGTTCTCATCCACCTTCAGGTCGCTCTGGCGCACGAAGCGCTCCTGGTCCTCAAAGGCGCGGATGACGCTGACCCCCAGCAGGGTCTCGTTGAAGTGCGAGTAGACGGGGGAGCGGCTGACCGACTCGAGGCGCTTGAGCTGCCGGGAGGAGGCCACGTAGAACCTCTGCGGGGAGAGCGGGTGGGGTCACCGAGGGGCGCCCCCCGGGGAGCCGAGCGGCCCGCAGGAATGGGGACAACACCGTGACGGGAGACACAGCTGTCCTCCCTCGTGATGGGGCGCTGCTCCCGCCCTAACCCGGGCACCAGCCGGCGCTGGCTGGTCTCAGGGTGGGAAACGGGACGTGCTAGCTGGAGCCCCAGCAGCTGTGCTGGAGCGGGAGACCGGCTAAAGAGCAGAAGGCTTTGGCAACCATGGTAACACAGAACTAAGCGGAAAGGAAGCCACAGTGGAGGCCAGGACCGGCCCGCTCACCTGCACGAAGAAGTAGACAAGGCCCAGGGGCGGGATGATGACGGCGGCGATGGGCGTGGCCAGCAGGATGATGACGCAGGCGCCCACCACGTTGAAGAGGGAGCCCATGTACATCTTGATGACCTGCGGGATCATGGAGTCCACCGTGTCCAGCTCCTTGGAGAAGCGGTTCACCAGGTTCCCGCTGGGCGTGCGCTCGAAGAAGCTCATGGGCGAGCGGAGGACGTTGTGCAGCAGGTCCAGGTGCAGGCGGCGGGAGGCCAGGATGCCCCCGATGGACACCGTCATGGAGTAGCCGAACACGGCGATTCCTGCGGCCCGGGCATCGGCGTGAGCGCAGCGGGGGCCGCCCGGGGCCGCACTGTCACCGCCGCCCCAGCTCACAGCGGGCTCACAGATGACAGCGGGGCAGCAATGTCCCCCCCGCTGTGCTGGCCGGCCAGCGTGGGAGCACTGGACAGCGAGCGCGGCCCGGGGCCCCCGGCATCGCCACCCCCTGAGCCTTCCAGTTCCGATCGCGTCTATGGAGAGCAGACAGCACAGCTCCTGAACACAGCCTACAGCCTGGCTGTGTGACCCAGGGGACACCACACCCTCTCTGAGTAGGACTACAAGGTCCCCTCCCCCTGGTAGCTGGGCATGAGGCGCAAGAGGGTCCCCCCGACTCAGCGCCCCCAGGGCCTCTGGCCTCGACGTTCCCCAGCTGTGCGATGGGTGCCCCGGGTGCTCCTCCTCTGTGTGTCCCATGGGAAACAAAGCACCCAGAAGACATTTGTTCCACTTGAAGGTGAGGCTCGGGGATACAGAGCCAAGCACCATCAATGTAAGAGTGAAATAAAAGCCGGGCACCGGTGGCTCACGCCTGTCAACCTAGCTACTCAAGAGGCTGAGATCTGAGGATCACGGTTCAAAACCAGGCTGGACAGGAAAGTCCGTGAGACTCTTATCTCCAATGAACCACCAGAAAACCAGAAGTGGCGCTGTGGCGCAAGTGGTAGAGCGCTTGCCTTGAGCTGAAGAGCTGAGGGAGAGCGCCCAGGCCCAGAGTTCAAGCCCCACAACCAACAAAACGAAACAAAACAGTGAAATAAAGGAAAACAAGACAAGAAGTAAAAGAGCAATAGAAAGTAAACCGAAATAAAAAAGAAAAGAAAGACCTCAAACATTCATTCCATCAACAGGCGGGTGTTTTGACAGCGGGTCTGTCTGAGTCTGGCTTGGTTTGGCCACGTCCCCCGAGGACTCGAGGAGCCCGTGCTGAGGCGGGCAGGAGAAGCATATGTGACGGCCGGAGCCACCGTGAGCGGGGTGGGACGGGAGGCACTCACCTTGTAAAATGCCCAGGGCTCCGTAGACGCCCAGCCGGAGCTTGGTGAGCCCCTGGGTCCCGTTGACGATAGGGTCGTCCGTCCAGAGGCTGAGCCAGTAGTTGGAGGCCAGGGCGGAGACGTGGTTACACAGGAACAGGAAGATGCTCAGGAAGGAGATGAAGAGGCCGATGGCCTTCATGTATTCCCAGTACACGGTGAGCTTCACCTGGGCGGGCAGAGCAGGCCAAGGACCAGTCAGCGTCAGCGCAGTTCCCAGAGCCCCGCCTACTGCCCATCGCCACCTCCCCCCTGCCCCGTGAGTGCCTGGGGAGCGGGTGCAGAGATGATCGGGCCCCTCCCCTCCTCTAGCCCCCCCCCGGGGTGGACATGGGGCTGGGGGGGGCAGGTGTCAACCCCCAGACCTCCCATCCTCAGGGTATCGAGAGGTCACTCCTGGTGACCTTGGGGGCTCTTTGTGCAGGAAATGGGGCTCATTCTGGACCCCCTCCTCCGCCGGTGAGGGTTGCAGTCTCAGTCTTTCAGGTCGCGGCGGTGGCGGAGGGCAGTGGCGGCCGCGCCCGGCGCCCGGCAGGTGACCCTTACCTGGCCGGTCTGCGCCTTGTCGGTCTCCATCAGCCTCCAGGCCTCCTCCTTGCTGCCGGCCTCCGGCAGCTCGGCGGTGCTGGCGTGGTGCTTGCTGGCATCCCCGCTGTATGAGGAGCTGCTGCTCAGCTGCCTGGGAAGGCGGAGGGCAGGGCGTCGGCCCGAGGCTTGGGTGGGGGAGGTGAGGGAAGGGGGTGTCCTGTTCAGGGGGTGATGAGCCGGGAGGAAGTGGGCACCAAGCTTCTCGGTCTGTGAGCACCCGGGATGGTCTGCACAAAACCACCAACTACCACTGGAGGGCAGGACATGTTCAGGAAAGGCTGGGCGTAGTGGCGCACACCTGGAATCCCAGCACTGATTATTGTGGTGAGCTTTTATTTGCACACGATTTGAAGTGTATAGGAGAGCTGGCAGAGCAGGACTGTGTGTCTCTCCCACTGACTTACCAGCCTGCACCCTGTGCCTCATTTGCGTTACACCAGCATCCGTGTTTGTAATTTAAGAGTTCTGCAGGAGGCTTTCCTAGTGCCAGGAGCTGGCCTGGCAAGTGGGATCTTCCTGCCTGTGGCTCTGGAGTAGCTGGGATTACAGGTGTGTGCCATCACGCCCAGCCTGTGACTGCCTGCTGGGCCTGGACCAAGCTCAGGGAGGGAAGCATGGCTCCGCGGGGAGCCCGCTGGCAGGGGTGGGGCGGAGCTCGGGCAGGGCCAGCCTCACCTCTGCAGCTTCCCCATGTTGTCTGACACCAGCATGCCATTCTCCACTGGCTTGGCCTCCTTCCGCTGACTGCCGGGGCCGAGGGGCCCTGGGGAGACGCAGGGGGAGGAAGGCGGGGCTGTCACCCTCTGAGCAGAGGGACGCCACCCGGCCGCGGCTCGAGCAGACCCCAGACCTGGGGAGCCAGACCCCCCAGATTCCTCCCCCCTCCCCGCCCCTCAGCAAGCAGAGGCCTGTGGCAGCCGGGTCACAGCACACACCCACGACTGGAGGAGGGGGGTTTCTGGGGACCGTGGCTGTGACCCCAGTAGTAAGGGGGTGCCACCATTTGAACTGACCAGGTGGCGGCCTGTGGGGGGTCTGCCTGGTGTCTCCGATGCCCCCCGGGACAAGCAGCACCGACAAGCAGGCCGCCAGCGCCGACCCTGCAGTGCTCATGTCGCACGCAGCCCACAGACACCGCCCTGAACCCACGCCCGCACAGACACTCAGACGCAGACACAGACAGACACGCAGACACACAGACAAGGGAGGCGTGGAAGGCCAGCCCGGGGAGGTAGGCGGAGGGAGCCACGGACGCAGGCCACGTGGGAAGGTCCACGGCCCAGGCCGGGGTGGCATTCACAGCGCAGAATGCCACCGGGAGCCCCAGGACTGGGAGGAAGCGGGGTGCAGGCCGGCCCCGCAGTGAGCGAGTCCCAAGCACCACGGCAGCCGCTGCCCAGGCGGCGGGGGGGGGGACTCCTCAACTCCTCGCTGTGGCCGCCCTGAGGCTCCACTGGCCCAATCATCCACAAGATGGGGTCACGCAGGGCTGAAGTCCCGGGGACCCTGGGTGGCATCTGCAATGGCACCGCCACCCAGCCTGCCCCACGTGCTTCGAAGGCCTCTGTGGAGATCTGGGGCCCTGGAGACACAAACTGAACCCCGGCACCACCGCAAAGCAACCTGGGCCGGGCCGCCTGGAGTCTACAAGCACCGGTGCGCAGCCGTGCCACTGACCTCCCGCCGCGTCCTCCGCTCCGCCGCCTGTGAATCGCAAGATGACAGCGCGTTAGCCCCCCCTGGGCCTCCACCTCCAGCCCGCGCCACGGGGAGGAAGGCGGTCCCCGCCCCATGCAGGCCCAGGGGACGGTGCCCCCATACCCGGGCCAGCGTCTCCCCCCAAGAGCACAACGGCTCTACACCTAGTGCGCCACCCTGCACGCACAGCACACGGGCAGGTGGACAGACCACTCTGGGAAGAGCCAGAGAACACGCTGAACCCCCCTTCCCGCCCCCCACTGACCCCCCCCCACCAGCCTCCGGGGCCTCACGGTGGCTGCCGCAGCACTAACACGCCAGCCTGAAGCAAGGGGCATCATCAGCTCAGATTTGTTCTAATTGTCACCACTGGGAGCGCAGCAAAGAGGCAGAGGACCACTAGCGGGAGTGAGGCCCGGGCTCAGTCCCCGGTACCAGGGGCTGGGAAGGTGGCTCAGTGGTAGCGTGCTTGCCTAGCATGCACGAAGCCCTGGGTTCCATTCCTCAGCACCACATGTACAGAAAAAGGCGAATTGGCGCTGTGGCTCTAGTGGTAGAGCGCTAGGCAGACGCTTTACCTACCACTTGAGCCACACCCTGGGACGTTTTTGCTCTGGCCTTGTGTGTTTCACCAGGGGCGGCCATGGACGAGGCCCTAGTACTTATATGTCCCATGTAGCTGGAAAGACAGGTGTACGCTACCACGCCCAGCTTGCTGACACGGGGGCTCAGCACCTTTTACCGAGGTTTGCTAACATGGCCTTGCTCAGGAGGTGCTGGGACTCCTGGATGAGGGCCAGCTGGCCTCCCGGGGAGAGGGAGGGAAGGAGGAAGGGAGGGAGAGGATTCCCAGAGACTGCTTTATGGTCAGCACCAAGCTTTTGCCCAAACATGGAACTGCCCGGCTGCCTCACCCAGCCTCACCCCCAGGGGCGGCCTCCAAGTTCTCCTCCCCGAGGGGGAGGACAGGCAGCCCAGAGGGAGAGAGGGAAGGAGGGAGGGAGGGAGGGCGGGCGGCTCCGCCCCGCACTCAAGGCTTTTCAGTAAAGCAAGAAGAGGAAGGAGGCGGCACTGGTGGCTCACGCCTGCCATGGTAGCTGCTCAGGAGGCTGAGGTGGAGAGACCGAGAGTTCAAGGCTAGCCCAGGCAAACTTAGGGTGACTCTGTCTCAAAAGAATGCAATGTGGGCATGGCTGTCTGGCAGGTGCGAGGCCCTGGGTTCAATCCCCAGTGACTAATGACAGAGAGCCTGGCGCACAGGCCACCGTGAAGAAACAAGATGGAGGAGGGGGAGAAGGATGAGGGAGGAGGAGGGCAGAGACTGCAGGTGTAGCCCGTGGGAGCAAGACCCAGGACAGGCCAGGAGGGTGCCCAGCGCCCCCTGGAGGTGGGGGATAGAAGGACATCCCCCCCCTCTGGCTTTTGAGGCTTGCTTCTGCTCTGTGCGCCTGAGTAGCTTTCAATCCGTTTTTACAAATTCACCAGAAACCGGGCGGCCGCCCCCCTCTGGCTGTGACCCTCAGATGGGCTGGCCACTGGTCAAGTCTGCTCCCCACTGAGAGCCCCCCCTCTCCCCCCCATGAGGCTGGGCTTCCTGCAAATCACAGGGATGGGCGCTGTCTTCCGGTGGCGATGGTGAGCCCCGGCCCCAGGAAACAGGAGGACACCCCCGCGGTGCCCGGCCTTCCCCAGGCAGGGATGACACTAACGCGCCCCTCCGTACACCGTACAGACTCAATACGGGGGGGCGCTGGCAGCGCCCCATCACTCTGAGCGCACCCCGGCAGACCCCCCACCCCGTGTGCTCGGAATCCACCTGCTTGGTGCAGCCGGCCAAGTGCCCGGGCGCGGGCCAAAAGCGTGGAGCACACGCAGCCAAGGTCACGGCTGGGGCCGGCCGAGGCTGAGCGCCCGGGACGTGGCTGCGTGCCCAGCCCCGTGTCACACAGCGGGCAGGGGACAGGGAGGCCACCCACCTAGCCCGGGGCCTGAGCCGGGGCCTGTGTGGAAGGCAGGAATATCTGCAGGGAAGGTGGCGTTCTCGTGGCCAAATGAAGCAGAGAACAAAAGGAGATGGGGGCACTA